TAGAAATTGGTCAATTCAATTTTACTTGTTTTAGCCTTAACCGAAACTAATTGAGTTGAAATGAATTTTGGAATCAAAAATCCTAATTTTGGGAGAAATCCCCAAATTGAAAAACCCTAATTTCAATTCAAACCCTAAATTGGGGGAAATCCCCAAATTGAAAAACCCTAATTTCAAATCAAACCCTAATTACTTAAATTCACTTAACTAATGACTCAATTACGAAATGTTATGAAAAATCGATGAAATGTATTATCAATTTATGAAAATCTCTGTAAAACAAATGCACTAGGATCACGAATCCCCAAATAATTACCAATTAAACCCTAATTTCACAATTTTGATAATTTAATAGGAATTTGATAAATCAATGCTCCTAAATCTATTTAATACTCTCTCTCGAGATGTATTGAACCTATTCTCATAAATCATCAACCTATATCTCTATGACGGATGCAATTTTACAAGAACGCATATAATCCTTTTGTGAGCAATTAAAGATTTACATAGGGCATAGGGGTATATTCCTATCCCCTATCGGACCCTATGATGTATTATATATGTCGAGTCTAATCTAATTTTCTCAAATTCAGAATTAAACCACCAAGTTCACACAAATCAAGTGCACATTAATTGTGGAAATAAATAAACCAATGTAATCCATTCAAATATCCATCAAACTAATAATTCAAAATCATGAAATAGCAAGTTTAATAGAAATTACATGGTTCATCGATCACCTAGTTGCAAAAATCTAGCCTATCATGATAAAAATAACGAAAACTAACAAAATATGAATAAAATACATCACCGGCTTGTCAAAGGTTGAAGAAATCTCGTAAATCTCGCATCAATTGCTTGTTCTTGCCTTCAATTCCACTCCAAGATTGATATTTTTGCCTCCCAAGTCATTCGTGCCGCTTCTGGACGTCTTGTTGCTATTTAAACTCGTCCAAATTAGGTTACCAAAGGAGTTGCAATCGTATAAGGAAAGTGCAAAATTCGGGAAAATTTATACCTATGCGACCGCATAGGTTTAAGAAAAACGCCCTTTTTCAACCCTGGAGGTTCACTCGCGACCGCATAGGTTTTATACTATGCGGTCGCATAGTATAGCTAGCTTCTAGTTTGATTCATTTTGGTCCTCAAGTTTCATTTCTTCACTCCTTGACCTCCTCTCTTGTTCCTAGTTGTTCCAATGGTCCCTTATAACTTTCAATTGGTGCTTGGCTTGATCAATTACTTGATGTGTTCATCGGGTCAACTTTCAGATAATTGCAATTTGGTCCCTGAATTTTCTCTTTGCTTCAATTTGATCATTTTTCGGCTCTTTTCTCCTGAATTCCACTATTTCCATAGAATTTCCTACATTGCATGAATTTGACAAAGTTAAGTAACAATTAAATCAATTTGCCTGTATTTAAGTCATGTTTGTGATGTAAATAAGTGTGCAAAAACACACTTATCACTTTTGTTGCAACTTTCTGGCAATTTCCGACCACCAAGACCGTAGAATTTCAATAACATTGGAAAGCCCATAATTTTCTCTTCAAATACCACCCAAAATCTCTCCCATAACTCTAAATAATTTGATCGGAATAAACCCACAAAATCAGCATCAAGAATCTGGACAGATTTTTGCCTTTTTGGGTAGTCAAATTTGTAAGTTTATTCCGGCAGGATTCTTTGGAGTTTGGGGGAGATTTTGGGATATAATTGAAGAGGACATTGTGAGCTTTCTAACGGTATCAAAATTCGGAGGTCTTGGTGATTGGAAGTGGCCGAAAAATCGCTGCAAAAGTCACCCAAAAAATCTGAAAATCTGGGCAGGTTTTCAAATTTTTTTGACAATTTTTGCGATGATTTCCTAATCGAATCCCTTAGAGTTACGAGGAGATTTTAGGTGGTAATTAAATAGGACATTAGAAGTTTTCCAATGGTATCAAAATTCGACAGTATCTATGGTTCGAGGTGACCGAAAAATTATCGCAAAAGTAGCCCCAAAAACTGAAAAAACGTTTTTAAACTTCAGTGACCGTTTTTGCAAGTTATTAAACTTTAGTGATCATATTTTAAAGCACTCTGAAACTGAAGTGACCATTACTGAAAGTTTTAAACTTTAGTGACTGTTTTGTAATTTTTGCCTAAGTTCAGTAATCGTTTGGGAAATTAACCCTTTCTAAAACACATGTGCCTGTGACAAAGTGCAACAAATCATAACAAATATGTGAAATTGTCTTACTATTACTAATATTATAAAGTGACTTTTTTTATAATCTAAATAAACTCAATTGGATTTTGATTTTTTATTAATTATTTCTTAATTTGTTTCATTATTGTAAATGTATTTATTCATATTTTTTTTTGTTGATTCAAGAAATAATCTAAAAATATTAATGATAAATATAATTATATTTGTATATAACCCTTCAATGAAATTTTTTATAAAAATAAGGATAATATGCAGATTAATCCAGCATTTCTTCTTTTTAATATTTACCATATTTCTAATCTTTTAGCATTATAACTTGTTTTATAGGTAAAGCAGTTGTACGTATGCCTATTTTACCTACTTGACGAAAGAGGACGAACTTTGTTTTGAATGCATCTTAAACATATTCCAAAGCCAATCTCACTTCATGCCATCTATTGTTTTTGACAATTGCTATAGAATGGAATGAGTTTCATTATTGCATTAATTAGGTCATTGAGTAACCTCTCGATCTGTAGCTATAGAGAAATTTGTTGCACAAAAGCTAAAGCCTAAACTAATAAGAAGGTGCTCAGGCCCTGTTTGTCTACCATTATAAAGTGAAAATGAGTTTTGAAATAGCAAATTTTTGAAAAATATATTGTTTATTAGATTTACGTACAAATTATTTTATTGTTAAAATGTATGATTAAAAATGAACTAAAGTTAAAAAAAAAAAAGGAAAAAAAAAAAGAGATTTTGAAATAATGATGGACAAACATTAGCTCAATATGTATACATTGCAAAAATTAAAGTGGTATTTGACTCGAAGTTCATCATATTTTACATTAAAATATAATTTTCCATTTTGGGATGAACTAGAGGAAGAGAGAGAATCTATATCCAAAAGCCAAGACCATATTTTCCACGTACAACCTGTTATTTTCAAAACTAAAATTTTAATGTTTGCTACTTTTAAATGCGACTCGTATAAAACAAGTTTCATCCTAACCTCGTCACATTTTTTCCATTGAAATAGTTGGCATGTTATATTTCGAGATTTTAAATTTGGCAATTTTAGACCAAACTTTGGATAAAGTCTTAGTTTTACGGTATAAAAGAAAAAGCGAAACAACTCTATATTTTAAACGTTGATACCCACAATGCGAGCCTCTTATCTTCCTTGAGTTGATTCATTTTGATGATTACTTTAGACTCTATGGAAATGATGATATGATTCATGAGTTGATTCATTCACTTTCTCATTTTGATGGTTCAGCGAGTCGTGAGTATTGGATGACTATGCCGAATATGGGTCAATTATTGCTTCAAGATATAAAATTATTCTTATTCACTTGAGCCAATAACAATGTTTTACATTTCTTCCACTTTGAGATGAACCACTTGCAATCGCATCTCATAAGATTGTTGCAATTGGATTTGTCAATGACTGCCATTTTGTCTCGGTAAATATTCATCCAATTAATTAAATTTTTAATTAACTAAATAATATTTCTACTTATGTTTTTCCATGTGATTGTGTATAGATAAATTGGCATACTATTGGACCAATGCCACCTATTGCTTGTAATTGGTACAAGTACCATCGTCTATGTGCAGAAGGTTGGGCTACACCTTATCATGTTAGGATGCAATTTTTTAGGTCCCTAGCAGAAGAAGGTGTAGCTATATCAGAGATAATTGATTTGGATAAACCATAAGAACAATTAACTACTACTATTATTATTATTTTTTGATATGATAACACTACTATTATTGATTGAACAATTACTTGATTTGTTCGCTACCATTCGATTACCTAATCATGTTATATTTATCCGCAAAGATTTGAAGCCTAATTTTGATTCACATTGATATATTATGTACAAATTATTTCTAGTAAGTGATGTTTTCTACTTGTTATTAATGTGAAGCATATTTGTCTAATTGAAAAATAAGAAATTTAGGCATGTTAAAACATTTTTCTCTAAACATTTATTAATTTTTTCTACTTGTAATTTTTGAGTTAAGCATAACGTAAAGAGATGATTGAAGCAAACCAATCATCGTCCAAACACGATGAGTTTCAAATGTTACTCGATATACTTTCTCTAGAGACAGACCTCCTCCTAATTTGGATGTTGATTCATGGTGGTTTGTCTTCAATGAATTGAGTTTTATGAATAAGAATGATAAAATTTCTAGTAAACACTATTAAAATGGTTAGCTGAATAATATATAATAATTTAATGTTCAATGATATATATTAACTCCAACGATAATAATTTTTCGGTGATCTAAAGATTTCTTTTTTAGATTTTCATGGGAAACTTTGCCACTGCCATGAATTCTTGTGTTTCGACGTTAACATATACAATTTGTCTTTTAACTGTTTAGAGATGATAATAATAATTTAATGAGGGAATGTGCTTACATTGAACGATGACTAATTGATGAAATCCTAAATCTAAGACATGAATGTAATAAAATTAATATCATTTTCGTTAGTATTTTATTCATTTTGTTTAAAAGAGTTTATATTTTAGGGATTGTGTGAATCTAGCGTTAGGGATGTACTTAAAATTTATATGGATATATGTTATTTAAATGAATGAATTTAGTAAGGACAAAATTGGAATATAACGTGGATGTAAATAGTATTTTTTTTTTTAAGTTTTAAAATTTTATTAAGGATGAACTTAGAGTGGGATATAATTATAAAAAATATGGATGGAAATAGCGCAATTTTTTTTATTATTTATTATTTATTATTTTATTTTTTGGGGTTAGATTCACAGTAAAACGCGCAACGCGGAGAGACTGTTCTTCGCGCTCATCATTTTTTTTTTTTGTTTTTTTTTGCTTTTTTGGGGTTCACATTAAAACTTCATAACCCTACAGAGGCCTTTCTTCTCCGATCTTCGATTTTGGATCGACCGTTTTGACCTTTTTATCACAGCGTTTGAAGTTTTCATGATTGATGAAGAAATTGCACGAAATAATGATGGAAACAAGGTATTTTGTTGAGTATATATTTATTTTTTTGCTATGAATCCTGAGTGTGGTAGATGGGTTTACCATTTGCTTCCTTATTTGCAAGAATTTTTTGAGCTTGAGTGTTTTTCTCGTCCTTCTCTTCGTGATTTCTTTGTACAGATCGCAAAATTGGAACCCTGACTTCCAAAATTTGTATGACTTCCATGACAACCATCAAGTGTGGCTTTCGACCAACAAAGCTATTTGTATTTGGGGATTAGTATGCTGATACTAGGAATATAAGGAAGTCTTTGGCAAGTTCTTGCAAAGAACCTTATGGCAGCACTTTTTCAGGGAAACATACCGGCGTTTCTCCGATGGCCGTATCCTCACTGATTATCTTGGTACGCAATAACACTTCATCTTTTGCCTTATTTTCTATCTTTTGATGGTTGGCTTGTCATTTTCTGCACTTTATCTTTCTGCTTTCTACACGAGTCAGCTTTATGTGCGTGGAAGAATTTCCATTATTGAACATCCTTTTACTCCATTTGTAATTAATATGTGTAAACGAGCCTGCTAATTTGTCTGTGACGTGTGGGATTTTATCTATACATGTTTCACCAATGTGGATGTATGGGGCTTTAATTTGCATCTTTATCTTTAAAAATTATAAGCAAATATCTAATTTTAGTGCTCAAATAATGACATGAACAGCTAAATTCTTGTGACTCAAATCTCCAGTAGCCTGCACATGGATGAATTTGGGAAAGCAAAAATGGTTGAATGGGATGAACTTTGCTTACAAAAAAGTTTTTACCATGATGTCAGTTCACCGACTCAGGAAGATTCCTGATAATTTATCGACTTTTGAGCAGTTGGATCTAAATCCTTATATCACTACTAGATTAAATATTAACTCAACTCTATATTTATGATGTGTGAGATATCATCTACATCACTTGTAGTGTAATGTACTACTTTTGGCCCCGTCTTGAATTAAAATGTTGTTACTTCATTTATTTTTACTTAGATATGCAATTTGAAGAAAGGCAATGAATTATATGTTATTTCTTGTTATGTGTGCAGGCTAATACCATCCATTTTTTTGTTTTTTTCACCAAGATTGGCTGTATTCTTCTTTCTGTTAGGCAGGATTATTTTTATTTGGAAGCAATACATAGTCTTAATTATGTTGTAAATCAATCAGATTACACAGTGCAAACGCTAGGAAATGTGACCACATATTTGTCACTTACGAATTCTGTCAGTGTGGTCCCAAATTTTTCTTACTTCAGATGTAATGAATGATATTGATGGGTTAAATGTGGACCTGAATACTGCAACAAATACATTGGAGCAGAAGAAAAATGAAAACTCAGGCAAAACTCAACAAGTCTTCAATTCTGTATATGATTGTGTGTACCTTGAATGAATTTTAATTCACTTCGATTAATTCATTCATAATTTAATGTCAATAACCAAATGCGTTCTTGCAGGAGATCAACACTTATCACTGTTGCTGTAAGATGCTTCTCTTATCTTTTCTTGGCCTCGGTATGCATTGTTAGATTGTCTCATATTCTTTAACTGGAATTATATGTTTTCTATTGCTGATTGGTTAGTTATTTGGTGCAATTCTGTCTATCCTAGGTCATCAACACACAATATATGTATAAGTTTTCACTTTAAGGTTATTTAGTTGGTAGTTCCACTTATTTATATTTTTAGAGCTGATTGTTCTGGTTTTAACAAAAGTGCCTTTTGGTAGTTCACTCCTCAAGTTGACAGTTCATCTTTTTGATGTCATTATTAGTCGATGGTTACTTGTGGCAATAACTTTCTTCATATGTTAAGTTTTTGTCATCCTGAACAAGTGAGATTCTTTATTTTCACATGAACCGCATTTATTTTTTATTATAAACATTTTTGTTAGTAACTTATTCATACACTAGATGCAATCTTCTTTCTTACCTGGGGAAAAAACTACAAATCATTAAATGATGGTGAATTGTGTCTGACCATCTTCTTTTTTATGTGTTCTCAATGCATCATATCACTATTTTATTTGCTTTAATTCACTTTACGCTTCTTTTTTTGTACTTTGGGCTTTTACCTGTTAGTTGGCTCTTTAAAGCTCTTTTGACAATGTCCTTCATATCAGGAAATAGTAGAAAGTAGGCAATATTGACTAACCATGGGGAGCCTCATGGCCATGTATTTAACTTATCTAATGAAAGACTTCAATGAAAAACAAATAAATAAAATCTTCTTAACCATCTAAACTCCATGTATTTTGCCAAAATGATGCTAGAATTCTCAAATTCCCCTATGAAAATGAAAATGAAAATGAAAATTGATTATGGTGTTCACTAAATATGTATTAGTTACTGAAGTCATGGGGATGATTTATGATGTCAATTGCCATATTGTATGTATTTCCAAGTGAGTATTTCATTTCGCGAATCTGAGAGCTGATGTTGTACAGTAGGGTGTCGAGTTCTGACTGGAAAGCTAAGGCAACGTTATTCATCCCTTCAAAACGACCATATTTACTTATCAAAAGTTTCTGGAAAAGACTAATGGCCAGACAGCATCTGACTGGTGCAACTCTAATGATACCAAACATCCGTGCCCCGAGGTCGTACAAAACCTACCATCAGACATGACATCAGTTCTATTATATGAATCTTCCTTTTTTTGTCTGGAAGAAAATGCATACAATACTGGAAGGAAGGAAAGCTTACTTCAGTATGAGTTGTATATGCTGACATCGGATGGTCGATGAACTTCCCTATAGGCACTGTACTACTTTTGTTGAAATAATAAAAAATGTCATTGCTTCCAACACTGATGAAAAACAGTGCTTTTGAGATTGTTGCTTCTTTTTATGCTTGGCCCATAACTTCAGTGAGATTATTGTGCAGTGCAGCAAATTTAACGATCAAGTCCAACAATGGCACAATATTTTGTTGGTGAGGTAATTTTACTAGGGAAGAAATTGTCAGAGTTAGCTCTGCCCAAATATATAAAGCCATTGTATTAGTAAGAATTCAAAGGGTTCATTTTTCATATAAGAGAAAAATAATGATGTTTAGAAATAGGCTCGAGGACTTTGCAGTTTTGGGCCAGTTGTATCAAGAAGGCCACAGAAATGCATCAAAGATGTATGTAATATTATGCCTTACTATTCACTGATTGATCATTACTTTGTATCCAATGTTGTTATTTTATATCCCCTGTTTGACAGCATTGCTACCCTCGGGTATTATCTAAAAAGATTCTTAAATGCAACTTCGACTGGAATTGTTGATCTAACTTTTCTCGAAGTAAAATGCAAACGTCTGACAAGTTTGATATATTAGATTTCAAGAAATTGATTTGAGCGTGTCCAAGAGATGTAGCTTCAGCAGAAGGGTTGTGAAAATAAAAAACCTCGACATCCAACATCGATGTATTATTGTCCGTTGCATCAAATTTGAAGATTTCTGCATGGCACCACAATCCCAAGGAGTAAATTAATCCAGTAACAAACCAGCCAATTATTGAAGTATGTTATTAGTTCAATCAAGATACAAACACAAGCGATGCTATTATCAAACAAAAAGTTATTGAAATACTTAAAACAATAACTGAAATACTATTCCAATGAGGGTCAGAGGTATTTCTGTAAGTAAATGTTCTTTTTTTTTTTTTTGAATAAATGCGTAATTTGCATCCTGCCTTTCTACATAGATCCACTCTTGGATAAACCTCGAGTTATATTGGTACTCAAGACTTGATTGAAGGAATAGTGAACGTAACAAATTTGCTGATAAGCATGCAAAATATTTATATTATTTGGCTGTCAAATATTTATAAATCTCTCATTCTTTTTAGACTCATTTGGTACTCGGGTTAATTTCTCAAATTATAAAGGTTAGTATCCTTAGTCTTTATTACATTTTATAACTTCTGTATGGCAGAGAGAGAAGAGAAGAAGCAGAAAGATGAATATTGCTTTATATGTTGATGCACATTGTTAAGTAAGTTTAGTTATCCTCGTTGACCTTTTTTTGATCCCTTAACTTTGGATTGCATTTGTTGGTGGCCCTTCATATTCGAATACTGGTTGTTCTCAACCTCAGAAAGATACCTCAGCTTGTACAATTGGTAGAAAACAACAACGTAATTAACAAGACATCTCTTCAAATCTCGATAAATTTAGTGTCACTTTTTTTCCTTACCAGAGTTGCAAGTTCAAGTTCAGCCCAATAGGTACAACTTAATCAGGTGATTGAATTATTTCCAGATATTGAAGAGCTTATTGGACTAGCTCCAGAGAAGGTCTTGCTTAAATGGAAGAATTTCCATCTCAAGAAAGCTGGCTACGAGAAAATTGTAACAAATTTTTCTTCGAACGTGAAGGTACGTCTTTCTTTGGAACTTCATATTCTACTTGGTCTTGGTGGAAAACGGTTTGGAAAATGGTTTTAGTTCTTTGTTTGGGAATAGTGTATTGCAAAAAGACAAATAAACAATTAGAGGATAATTGGTGAATTAGTGTTTGTAAATGATTTGTTTCTATATCCTACATCAATTTGGGGAGACAGGAATACGTTATATGCATCTCTTATTCTGTTTGTGGTTTTTGTTATTTAAATGGATTCGCAGATTCTTGAGAAATGGCAATGGATGCTTCGAATATTTTTAGTGCCAGACATTCTTCAGTTTTCCTTTATGGTATCTTTGCGCGAATCTCCTTGTTGGCTTTACCTGCAGGTGCAAAAGCAATTTGCTAGCTTTGAATAATTGTTTTCTGAAACATGTTATCAGATATTTGATCTTCCCTCTTATTGATTCGAAAATAATTCTTGCAGAAGGATAAATATAAAGCTATTATTGTGTTGTCAAAGACTTATGATCCTTATTGCTTGGAAGAGGAGATCAATCAACTTGCTGCTGTATTTGAGGAAGAGCACCAAAGAAAGTGTGCAATCTGCTACTTTGATTTATTTTAAGTAAAAGAAACAAGACTTGCACTTTTTACTGAAGCCCTGAAGGTGCATGAATATTTCCATTTAGTTTGTTAAAGTAGGAGAGGTGTGTTATAGGATTTGGTCAAATATGAATGGGGGGTTTAAGGTGTTCATTTCATTTATGCAGAACAAAAATTGGGTGTCAAAATGGGGGAGAATGGGCCTTTAGGTGATGCATCAAACTATTGTAATTCCACCTTGTCTTTTCATTCAGTAATGCAAATTCACCTTCCTTGGGGAGTGGGTCATCTTCAGAGGTGGAAAATTGGGTGGAATAGGCATAAATAGGTGGGGGCAAATGGGTGATATATAAAGAGTCACCTACACATGTCGATCCATTTGTTAAGTGGGTCACAGGGGTCCGAGCCAGTTTAACCATTAGGAAAGTGGGTAGTTGCCTAAGACCCCATATTTATAGAGGGCCCATGAATTTTAATAATGGGGAAACCACGTGACCATAATACTTTAAATACATAATTTCGCGTTTAACAAACTTACAAAAATATTTCAAAAATCAGGTATTGCATAATTTATTACGTATTAAATTAAGAAAACCAAATCCACAATAATCTTTCTCTACACAAATGCCCCAATCTACCATACACACCCCAATTCAACATACCCACTCCAATCTACTATAATTTGATGTTTATGAGAGGCTGGAAGAGGGATTTTAGTGTGGTGGATCTTAGGCCGACGATGATGGAGATAGTGTCGGAGGCGAGGACTTGATGGACGAATGGAAGAACCGATCTTAATCATCGTACCATTGTCATTTTCCAAATTTAGGGTTTTGATTTCTTTGTTCTTCCTGTGTATTACTTTCCTCTTTCTTTAACTGTTGAGTGAAAGAGACGAAATGTGATGACTGTCCTTACCGAAGGCGACAAAACCAACGAATAATTTTTCTATAAGTGTGACAGCCATGCCTTTTTGGATAAGAAGCAAATGGTGAAGACTCCGTTGCTGCAAACCAACAATTTTTTAGGTAAATTTGGGACGTCCATGGATGGTGATGGGATGAGGAGCAACAAATTGAAACTAAATTGGGAGTTAATTTGTGAAATTGCTGTGAAAATTAAAATGAAATTGAAGAATGTAACTTAAGCTTAAAGATGCTTATTGTGATTCTTTGTGACTAAGTTTGTATTATTTGTAACTGTTTATGATCAGCTCTATTTTCACTATGAATGTTTATGGTTTGTAATGCTTTCATTGTGACTTCTTGTTATCTAACTGTGACATATTGTTGTCTGACTGCAACTTACATTAATCAAAATTTGTAATTATATGTAACCAAGTCATTAACTTGTGTTATATATGATTAATTGCAATCAAATTTGTCTTCAGTGTGATTATCTGTAACCATCTAATTTGTGATTAAGTCATTAACTTGTGCTATTTATGCGACCAAATTTATTTGTAGTGTGAATAAATATGATCAAATTTGTTTTCAGTATGACTATTTGTGACAGGTCATCTTAACTGTGATGATATACAACTTGATATGTGATCAAGTCACAATTGGTCAAAATTAACATAGAATTGGTCATAACCAATCACAGTAAACATATAATTGGTCACAGAAAATCACCACAAATAAATCTACACATACCATATACCAGCACCACAATCACCACCATCACCTACAATGTACCACCACTACCACCTTCGACTTAAATCCATGATAATGAATTCCCAAAAAGAAAGTAAAATTCTCAATTGATGTTTAACTAAAACTTTTCTCTGCTACTCTAGGTGACCATTAATAATTCCTCTCCTTTGATCTTCACAATCATTTCCTTAAGAAGGCAGAGTACCAGAGTCCAATAATATGAAATTCTAGTCAATCACCCATGAAAAAGAGGCATCAATCCTCAATGCCGCTAGTGCTACTTGCAGCAAAGTGTGATATTTCCAAGATCCCGAGTTGGAGATCGCCTTGAGATCTACTTTCTAAAAGAACCTTAACTACAAAAATTGCAATTAAGCAATCCAAAACCAATAAAAAAATATTCCACAATTGCTCATGATGAAAAACTTGTACAACAAAAATGATGTTACTTTCATTTCTCAGTCTACAAATATTAAGACTATCATATCCCACCTACAATACATAATATACACAACAACTAGAATGAACTGAAAGTAATTAGTGTAATGTAAAAAGGAAAACAAAAAGCATCCCTTATGTTTTAGTATGACATTATTGCATATGAGTATTGCATGTAGAGGACATCAAAGCCATCTCTTGATCTTTATTCATTTCTCTTCAAATTCACCATCAATGATATCAAGTTTACTCTTTTCCCAAGAGGAACTGGTACCTTGGCCACCTTTAGAAAAGAAGTCTCCATGTGGCTGCTATACAATGTTGCAATAACTTGCACAACAAATTGTTTGGCTCTTGTATACAACAAACTGCCTCCTACATGCAAGGCATTCTTCTTGCTCAGATAAATTAATAAACACATGAATCATACGTGCTCATACTAATTACTATTGGATCATTTCCATGATTAGGGATCTAAGTAAACATCAGCTTGCAAATAACAAAACAAAAAGAGGAGGGATGACAAATCTAAATGCAAGAAAAGAACCAACTTAAATTTACGAGAACTTTTGCTTTGGTAGTATTGTTAAAATAATATTCACCAGGTCTACATGAATAAGGCATCCTGAGCACATATTTTATGTTTTGGCATTGTAATTAACTCCATAAATAGGTGTTCATAATCTGTAATGAAGTTCTAAGCATGAAAATTCAAATTTGATTGTATATAGATATGGTTGAACATTTATGAGGACTTTTTGCTTGATTAAGCTATACTGGACAAGTCATAATCTAAAAATTGACTAGTGGGCAACCAAGGGAACAAACTGTAACATGAATAATAGATTCCTATTTGTCTTATAAAAAAATTTGATTATAACAATCCATGTTCTTTTCTCTCTTATTATTATTATTATTATTTTTGGTTGCCGACTAGGCATTTTTCATAATCAAAGGTCACACCTAAAAATCTTACACCAAGAAAAATCCACAACAACCAGAAAAATGAACTTCATTAAAAAAACATTACAAGATGAATGACAAAATCCTAAACACTGATGAGCAGTGGAAAATTGAAAAGAAATACTCAAATCATAGTTAGTCTATCAGCAATGTCCTATATTCTTAGCATAATGATAAAACCATAGTTGGTTTGCTAGTAGC